GGGCAATGTAAACAATTTTTAGTGTTTTCTGTTCCTGAACATGAAACTCCCTGGTGTAAAGCCTACATGTGCTATGCTTTTCCCCCTGTTCTTCACATGATTTTCAAAAGAGCTTAGCTGCCCTGGGAAATAGGTCAAGGCTGTGCCCAGTTCTATGCCACTGCTCAGGTGTTAGTCTTTGCAGGGAGAAGAAAAGCTGCTCTATAGGGCCAGCCTGGTTTAAACAGGAGGTGAAGCACATGGGCCTTATTAGCTGCAACCCCAGCGTCAAAGTATTTCTGTGTGTGTGTCTCAGGCAGAGAAGCCTTAGGGACAAGGCAACCTCATGAGAAAGTGTGGGCCAAGGTTGTTATTTTGTCATTTGAGTAATTAATAGATGGGTCAGTCAGCCTGCATAGCTAGACCTCCTGGTATACTGCAGATCTTCTCCTGTGAGCCTTTAAGATAAAAATTCAGTTTATGGTAATTAATTTCTTAGAGAAGTTTCTATGGAATATTTTGAGAAGTTAAACTTTTGTTTTCCCCCTTTTCCTTCCCATTCCTTATTTCAGCTACTGAACATAGCAGACTTGTGTACAATTTGTTCCTTGTTTAGTCTGAAATGCTTTAATATTTCTACAAGTGGCAAAACTGTGTTATTTTTCCTTTTGAGGCATTCTAACATACCCAAACTTTCTGTAAAAAAAAAAAAAAAAAAAGTGATCAGATCTGTTGAAATAAGATGAAAATAATTTAAATTGTCACTGGAATCACATTTATTGGTAATAAGGGGGAACCCAAAATTTTAAAAATCCTTGAAATGTTTCAGCTTCAAAATAATTAAGCCATTGCTCTCCTTTTGGATAGATAGAATTTTTGTTTCTACTTTGGTGGTTGCAATTTTGTTATTCTGCTTTAAGGAAAGGCTGGGGTGGTGCTGGAGAGCAGGTGCTATAGGGCCAGGAGCAGCCTGGGGCTGGGAGCCACCTTGCAGGTGGTGCAGAGGAAGGACGGAGCCAGAGTCCCAGGTATGGTGGGGAGGAAGCCAGTTCTCCTTCCCTAGAAAGGCCTCCTGGAGCCATGGCAAGGCTTGCTTAGATCCCAGTAGTCACTGGAGCTGGATGAAACACAGCTGAGAGTCTGTGAGGGAGTGCGAGACAGGTGCTTGTCGTATTGTGATTGCCCAATGGTTGCTTTTCCTAATGATGAAGTAATTATCAGAGCTCCTGCTCTGAGGAACCTGATTTCTTTGTTTGTTTGTATGATTGATTTTAAGCCTCTTGATCTTATTGGGGAGCTCCTTATGAAGCAGGTCAAGCCAGAAGCTTTGCAACACTGCTGATCAATTTGTGGTCCTCTCACACTGCTAGGAGGCCTTAAAACTGTATAGGACTAAGTTTGTTTTTTTACATTTGTGCAGCTGTAAATAAGAAGGACATCTTTTGTTACAAAGACTGCTAAAATTTCAAAATTGTATTTTTCTGGGAATACTTTACAGGTGAAAAAATGCTGATGAATGCCACTGAGTACTGCCTTACAAACCAGCATGAGGTAAGAGTCAAGGTTTAAATCTAGGCTTGAGACAAACTATTGCTTTTTCTGTCTTGCATCAGGATGATTTTATGGCTTGAGGAAAAGAAGAACAGTGTGTGTGGCTTGTTACTTTAATCAACTTAATGACAAATACTCTATTTGAAATGCAGAAATTTCTTCCAGGTTTTCTGCAGTTTCTGTAAGTGTAGAGAGTGCATAAGGAATACTTCAAAGGCTGAGTGTGAATTTGGTGATGCTATTTTAACTTCAGATTGTTGTTTTAGCAGAGTTCTTTGGGTTCATAGAATAAGAAGAAAATTGGCTCAGGGAAGTCAAAGAAAATAGGAAAAAAAGGAAAAACAAAAAATCACAGATGGACGATACTATAAATGGATGAAACTGTAAATAATGAAGAACACAGTTGCCAGCTATTTACAGGCTTAGATCAGTTAAAATCAATAGAAGACAATGACACTTCAATACAGGCAAATATAGAAAAAGGAGGGCTTTTTACAGAGACATGCACTTGGCAGCCCTTGTTTGGGAAATGGTGGGAAAAAAAATTATAGAAGGGATAAATATGCTGGGACAGATACAGAGCTGGTGTAGGTGGGCAAGGTACAGCTTCTTCCGGTTATTCAGCTTCCTTGCCAAGTAAACACACTTCAAAACCAACATGTTCAGACCCAGCTACCTGCTGCAAATCACCAAGTGTCTATTAAAGGAAGGAAGAATTAAGAAATAACACTGGGTGAAAAAAAAAGCAGTTGAAATTATTTGAACTAGAACTCTTATTTCTGTTTGTATCTTCTGATGGAGAAGGTCTGTGCTGCAGTGTGAACTGTTGTTTACACTTGTCTAAATCTGGCCAGATCTCAGCCTTAGATTCTAGGTCCCTGGCTTTGGTGGTGGGGGGGAAAAGCTGCAAATCTGGTTTACTGATCTTGGCGTGGACTTTGGCAAGAGGAAATACCCTGATAGCGCAGGCTATCAGAGGTGCATGGTAGAGGCAAGAACAAATTGTCACCTGTAACACCTTTCACACCTGACAGTCCCAATGCCCTGGCCTTCCTTAGAAACTCAGGACATGCTAGGGGTAACAAGACTTTTACTGTCTCTTCTCAGTTTTGCATCCTGCTGTCTTCCTGCTTAAAAGGTGTGATAAAAACCTTCATCTGCCCCTCCCCTTACTCCAGTGCCTAGCAATAAGGCCTGATAAATCCTGCCATTCTCATGGAATAATATATTACACGCACTACACACAAGTAAGAAAGATCACACAAGATCATGGCTACTGGAGGGGAAGGTCAGTATCCAAAAGGATGATAGAAGGGAGAAATGAAAGAGCAACAAGTAATGCATTCAGGAGAAAGAAACAATAAATTATGAGCGCCCAGTGTGTCCAGAACAACTTTCTGCTGTTGCAGCAGCTGAACTCAGCAGGAGGGGAGCTGCTTTCCATCTCCAAGTCCAAACCCAGAGAGCAGGGAAACTCTTTCCCCTCCTCCCCATAAACATGCTACAATAGGACACAGATAGCCCCTGCATTTTGCTGGACCACTTTTTTTAGGAGATGACTGTGTGATTCTTGTGCCTTCTTTCTAAAGGTATATTTCACCCTGTGTTTACATTTATGGACTGGAATATCAGTGGTCTCTTGACTCTATTTCATCTGCCATAATGATTTAGTGGAGTTCTGGCAATGAATGGTGCTTTGTTGTTGTTGTCCTGTTATCCCTGCTTTGTAGTCAACTCCAGTTATCGAACGACTGGGTTTGGGGAAATGGAGCCCATGAGCTGTGCAGGGCTCTGCTCCCTTGAACTTTACTTCCTGAAGGAAAGAGGGAGCTCAGCCATTCACTGGAGACTTTTTTTATTATTATTATTATGGTTATCAGAAGCCTTTGAACATTAAAGATGTGTTACTATCAATATACTAAGACAATTTTTAAAAACTTTGCAATAGTCAGACTATTCATTACCTTTGATTGAATAGCACTGTTGAGTATTTTCTAAACTGCCACTGAAATTACTTCCTGCAAAAGTATGAAGCAACTTCTGTTGTTGCCTTGTGGATTCGCAAGGCAAATCTATATAGGATATATTAATTGTAAATTGTCATATGCAGGAGGTAGAAACAAACGGATGCTTGTGAAGTTTAAAGCAGATGACCCTTTATTGCTAAAACACACACATATTTATAGTCACATATTCTGCAAAGTCACTGTACACGCGCACAAGCATAAAATATGATTGGTTATATCAACTCTGTACACATGCATAAACATAAGATATAATTGGTTATATCAACTTAAACATGCAAAGTTTGTCTCAGTCTAATTGGTTGACATAAACTGCAGAATTGAGGTTTTTTGTGCCAAGTTCCCTTTATTATGGAATGCACACCTGTGTTCTTCTAATTGGCTTTATTATTATCTTTTTTTTGTTGTTGTCTTTTTTATTCTGTTCAAGGTCTTCTAAAGGCGTCTGCAATGCTCTTGCGACCAAAATTAGCTAAATATGTGTCCACAATTCCCCCTTTTTTTTGTTTTTTTGTCAATTAACACCTGCTGTATTGCCCTTTGCAAAGGTCTATGAACACAATTAATTAAACACGGTAAAAGCAACATTATACCTAATAAAATACATAAGAATAAAAGAAACCCCGATTTTTAACAAAGATACAAACCAACTCCTAAGTCCCCATCCCGCAGCTAAATGCTCTAGGCCGAAATGGCAGCTTTCTTAATTGGGTTAAAGCTCTTGCAGCTCCTTCTTGCCTCTGCAGTTCTGTTATCTTGTTTATTAATTGCTCCACTGTCCAAGTTCCTCATGTCTGTTGTTCTTCTGGCAGTTCAAAGTCCGTTCATACTGCAGTTGTCATGTACTCCGGCCCACTCATGCTAACTGCGGCCTACTTATGCTAACTCTAAATAATAAGGCTCAAAGAAATGTCCCCCATTTTTCATGAAATCTCCCACAGTCATAGCTATGTGTCAGACTTCCTTCTTACAGGACATCAGTGAATCTGGCCAAATGGGTAAGTCATGCCTTCATAATGCCAAGCTCAAAGGACTGAGCACTGTAAGGAATCCCCATGGCATATGCTTGAGTATATGTGGATAAATTGGAACAGGACTAGCAAGGATCAGTTAGGTCACAGAAACCACATCAAGAAGCCTAAAGGACTAGAGAAGAAATCTGGTTTCAGTAATTTGTCCTTGCGGTTTCCCTGGTGATTTCCCCTGAAGCACTGGCTTCATGATGCCCCTATGCCAGAAATAATATATCAGGATGTAAGAGAACTCATCTCCTGACAGTCCTCAGGACAAGCTCTTTGAGAGAAGAGCGGGACAAACCCTCTTGCAACTGACAGCCCAAGCAAACAGTAATGGATGACTTAGAAGAAGCAAGCAAAAGAGTGACACCAGGCCCAGAGGCTGTCTAGTCCAGCAGCTAAGTCTAGTAGCTAAAAATTCATCACAGAGTTGGTTAAGTGAGAGTAATCTGCTATCAACAAAGAGGAGAAAGAAAACTTATTTCAGCTGACTGCAATTCTGCCAGTCTTCCTTGTCCATTAGCAGAATAAATAGTGCACAGACTGATAGGAGCCATCATAAACATATATTCTCTCCCACTGGGAGGTTTAATAAATACTGGTAGCTCCTAAAAATTGCTATAATGTTTATTGATTTAAGCCTCTGAGATTCTACTAAGGAATAATCTGTGGGTTTCATAATGTAAATCATATGGATGTCTATATAGAGTTTTAAAACACAAGGTCACTGCTGTAAATCTAGATGCATTATTTGTATGTGTATATATTTGAGGTAGATATTGATGCCTGTAGTTAGGATTGTGTGGGTTTTGTGTAGTTCTTTTGTGGGATGAAACTTCTGTTCACTTTTATGTTTAGTTTCTTCCAAGTTTGTTTATAACCCACCACCTGCATTTAAAAAAAATTAAGGAGTCTCAGGCTTGAAATCTAAGGTTATCTTTACAACATGATCTTTAACTACTTGAAGTGGTAGTGTTGGTGGTTGTTCTTTTGGTTTGGATTTTGAGAATAAGGCTAGAAATGTGATTTTTGTCAGATTTAAACTCTTCTCTGGGGACTAAGATTCTTGTGCAAAGCCAGGAGAAACTCCCAAATTCTGTAGCCAAACTGGTATTTGGATACTATACACTAACACACAGAGCCAATGGTGGAACTAAAAGAAACAGTGAATAGCAATGAGCTGATTGAAGTACTTCTTACTGTAAAAACAGCAATCACTCGGTTAAAGACTGTGTCATAAAGAATAATGTAAGAAGCCTGAATTAAGGTTACATTGGCAGCTGTGGGTTTACCAATATCTCCTTTGGGGGACTAAGTCTCAATACATTTCAGTCTCAATATTCTTTACACATAGTGTTTGAATAAACTAATAACCCTGTAGTTATAAATTCACCTGTAGTTTTTATGTAAATCTATGGCAAGATTAATATATAGAGGAAATATAAATATTATTACAATAACATTCTTGGTTTTTTTTAGTATGTAAAGGGCTGACACTTGAAAAATCAAGTAGTTACAGTTCCCATAGCTGCTGGGGAAAATTCAGTTCCAGTCTGAACAAATGAGCTATACTAATGTGTCATCCGATGCGGTGACACATGCTGGGTAGCTGATGAGAGGAGTGGTGGAGAGCTCAGCCCTCTTAGCTCTTCAGTCTCACGCCTCAGCAAATCCATATGAGGTAATCTTAGGCCTTTCCTGTTGTTCATATGACCTGCTTTTATCTTGAGCTACATCCAGGCAGCCCTCGCTAAAATCCATTATGGCTCGGCAGGTCTGTCTGAGAGCAGACTGTATGGGTTAAGAGCCCTAATTAGTCACCAAGGGTTGCATTCTGTTTGTTACTCTACAAAAATGAAATCGATGGGAGGCATATGTAGCCTCAAAATAGGAATAACATCAGTTTTTAGAATGAAGTAATGGTAATCCTAAAAGAGGGGAAAATAGAAGTTACAACAGGTTGCACACCCCGCCCCAAACTCCCAGAATGGGAGAAATCCCTCCAAGAGCTCTGTCTGTGTGGCAGCTTTACCCAGCGGGTGGTGGGGTCTGTCCCCACCAGAACTTCATAAACCTCTTTCAGATCCTTCTGTGCTTTTCTATCTTACCAGTCTCATGCGGTGGCAAACAGCAATGCTATTCACCTCTGCTGTACTGTGTGTACCTCTGCTGAACCACAAACCTCCTGCAAACTTGTAACAATGTAGTAAGTTTCCATGTTTTGGGGTTTTCTCTTTCTTTTCCTCATGAACGTTTAAATGATTTACATAGTCCTTGTGCATCTGTGCCTGTGCGCTGTAGCCCTGAGCAGCAATTTGGCTGTGTCCCCCAGCCTCACAGAAAAGGGCAAATGGCTTCTCAGGCTGACTGTGAAGGGGAGATGTGGAGGAGAACGTTAAAGGTAAAAAAGGCAATGGCTATTTTTCCTCGTCTCATAAATGTAACTAGTAAGTACTCTGGCTGGGTGAGAGTGATGCTAGAGTGGAATAACTGTCTATTTGAAGTAGAAATAGTTTGAGTTTTATTACTTCTAGACCCCATTTGGATCTGCTTTACCCCTTTTTCTCAATTGCGTGACTCGCACAAATGTTTGCTAAGCTTTGTCATAACTCTTTTCTTGGGATGCCCATCCTTTCAAACAGAGAGTTCTGGCCCTATTCTTAGTTACAGACAATCAAGTGCCTGCCATTATACTGGGACTAGTTAGTGCTTAGACAAATTTAAATTAATGTGATTTCCTGAGTTGATAAAACCCTCTATGCACTGTTTTAAAATGTTTAACCAGCACAACAAACTTGTTGCATCTAATACTGCAATGATTGCAAAGATTGCGTAGCTTGTCTTGACAAATGAAACAGTAAATAGCAGAAACACTGCTGAATCTTAATCACCAGTAACTAATTGAAGTGTGTGTCTGATTATAGAACAATTGAATAATCACACCTCTTAGCCTTACCAAGAAGTTGCCATCTGGGGTAGGAATAGTGATGTGCTGGCAAGACCAGATGGTCTTCACATGCAGAAAGAACCTTTTTCATCAATAGCATGACTGCACTGCTAATTAGAGAAGAATCAGCAAGGCATAAGTCAAGGAGGAATTTCCAAATCTAGATTAGGGTTAAGAGATCCATTAAGATCATTTCAGGGCCAGGATTTGAAATCATATTTCTTAATGCTGAAAACATGTGAGAACTTCTTAATGACTTGATAGTCTGAAAAGGACATAGGCCCTTAAAACAAGATACAGTTGGATTTTAGGTGCCTAATTAAAAAATACTATGAGAAAACTCTTGACTCTTATTGCCTTCCTCATGCTGGAAGCTCCCCAAATTCATGATGTTCACATTTCTACATGTGTCCCCCCCAGTTTCTGCCTAAACTCCATAGCTCAAAAATCTAGAAAAGGTGCCTGAAAAGGTAGTGAGTGCCTCTCTGCGAGAGGAATGCTTATACTCCCAATGCACAATAAAGTAGATGCCTGCAGAGATGGGTATTGATCACAAAATACAACCCTGTCTCAACTCCATTTCAAAGGGGAGGAGGGGAAAAAAAAACCCAACCAAAACCCCTGAACCCAAACAAGCAAAAAAACACCATAGGAGAAAGAAGAGATGGATTTACTTGGTAAATAGATATTAATGCCTAGTTATACAATTTTCCTCCTGAGTGAAGATATTTTGGTGCGTTGCCTTCCTGGTGAATTGTCAGTCTCTTCAGGTCCTCTTTCCGCCAGAAGTTTTTTTCCAGGCTGAAATTAGTGGAGTTGGTCCATTTATTTGGTACCTCCAGAAATTTGGAGCCCAAGGGCAAATAGCTGCTGCTACACACGGCCTTTGAGTGGTTTGTGTTCTGCGTGGTCTGGATTTACTGTCATTGTGTAGATTCGGTGTACTGTGTAGAGTTGCCCTACTAATGCAGGTGGTTATGTCTCAGAAATCTTGAACACACACACACACACATAACTCCCTCCACTAACTCTAAATTTTAGGTTGTACTGTAAAAGGCAAGAAGTTGAAAGCAAAGATTTCTATACCTGATGAGCATCTCTCTCTCTCTTCTATGTTTCTCTCACACTTCTATGTTTTACTGTTTTCTTTTTTAAAAAACCTTTATTATGTGACATTCAAACCCTCTGAGATTTTAGATAAAATCATGAAGAGCCAGATATTTTCCCAGGTTCTTTCTGTAATGTGCTCAAATACATTGTCCTTAAAATCTTGAAGATTCAGACGAGTATGAATCAAGTAAGTTCTGAAAGAGATTGGATTTCTCAAAATGGAGACTTGTCATCCAGCTAACTAATGTTCTTCAGATACATGTATCTTATCTTTTCACAGCTCTTTAGAAAAAAAAAAGTTTTTACTCTTACTTTACTTTTTTAACTCTCCAAAACTGGCAGTTATTAAATAATTTCCTTCTGAGAAAGTTTAACTGGTTTTATAATGTAGTTTGGTGCCCGTCACTCTCACAGAGTTAACTGGAAGTAACTTTTTATTTTTAACATCAGGAACCAGTCTGTACCTTCAAAAAATAAGGGTTGATATCCCTTATGAATTTTCCATTTTTCTAAGAATTGTTAATAATTCTTTACTTGTTCCAGCATCTATCCATTCTTTGATTCTAGAGCTCCATAGGTTATGCGATACCTTTGGAAATTAATTCCATGTGTTGGTTTTTAGTTATTGACAAATAATGTAGGTAATGTTCTAAACTTGATACTTGCCAATTGTCTAAAATGTTAATTAACAGCAGAGCAAGTATTTAACATAAGAAATCTAAGCCTCACTGCCTTATTCTGTTATTCTTTAATGCTAATGCTATTGCTATTTAATTCAAGTGTACTTTTCCTAAACAGAATTGCAATAGTCAAACCTCATAAGCTCCAGAACACTTTTACTAAGTCTTACCCTTACCCTTCTGGCCCTGGAATAGAAAGTAGACAAAGGAACAACCAAGGATAAGATACTAGAAGTGAGAGGTGGTCACAGCTAAGAAATGAGAAGCAGGATACTGGCAAAAACTAAGGGTTTTCTTTTTATTCACTTCTTGCTATACAGAAGCTAATAGAATACACATACCTATCCAGATCTACTGGCAAATGGATTGACTTGCAGAATTGATGCAGTACAGATGATCTGTACAGACCCTATAAAAGGAAACTCTGATTTGTTTAAAATAGTCAGTCTTATTCATACACTTTGACAGAGGTCCGATAGTATAATGTATGATGTGCTAAAGAGAATACTGACTAATACTCCTAGAAAAAATTGTCTGTCTTTTAGTTTGTTGTGTCAGAGAGAAGATCGAGATGGGGAAATTATAATTAAATAAAAAATTTAAATCAATTTCTTTTTCCTTTTGCCATATTTCACTCGATAATGGAACAGCTTTGAAACTGGAGATGCTTTTAACCCGTTGTCAAAGCTAATAGTAACTTTATTTATTAGTAGTATTTACTCAGCTGTTGTAAAGCTAGTGTCTATATAGCCTGTTAACACTGGGACATGAATTGATCTCTTTCTGTCTCTATCATGTTCTTGAGCATACATCAAAAGAGGCTGCACAGGAAAGTAATCTCAGGTGTTTTCCATCTCTGTGTTCTAAAAAGTGAGTGGCACTAATTTAATGGGCTAGGAAAGGGTCTTGAATCAGAAACATGGATGGAAGGCTTTGCCAGAGATTAGTTGGGCATATTTTTGATTTGTGATGTTTCAAGTGAAGTTTCAAGGATGTTGGGGGAAAAACCCCACCTTTCAATCAGAAAGCTTGAAAATTATAGGATTTGTTCTATTCCCTTTGAAGGAGAGGGGAAAAAAAATTCTTAAGTGTGTGTGTTTAACAGCATACGGGCATGCGCACTCTCAAAGAAAATTCATAAGAATGCAAAGCTGATCTCTGGAAACATCCTGTGCCCTTTTGATCTGACCTCTAATTCCATGGGTTTCCTACATCAGTGAAGTCACAGGCCGGACTGTGCTTGTGAAGGCAGCTGCTAGATGGCATTTTGTTTTCTCCCCCACTGTTCACTGTGTGCCAGCATTCTTTATGAATTCAAACCCTGCTCTGATTGGGTTCTTCAGTACTTTTTAAATACTAGCTCCAAATCCCAGCTCCTTTCTTCTGGCTAACATTTCATCCATGTGTTGTCTTCATCTAGTCTTGCTCCTTGCCCAGACATGCTTTTCAATCTTTTTTCTGTCTTTGCTGACTCCTCAGTTAAATTCCCCTGGGGGAATCTCCTGCAGCTCCAGGGACTCTGGTCCTTTTGCTGGTACCATTTTTTTGCCTCAGTAACTCACAGTTCTTCCTTTGCACACTAGTGTCTTATCAGATATATCTCTTCTCGTGCCCCCTGCTTTTTGCATTCTTGGTCTTTTTTGCCCTTTTTCCCAGGGCTAGCCCCAGTCTGTGTGATGCACATCAATCCCTGTTTTCTTTTTAATGGATTCTAATCCCATTTCCCTCTAGTCTTATCTTGCCCCTTTCTCTTGTCTTTTCTGTATTTGAATATGGCAATAGCTCGCTGAGATCCATGGAGACACAGGGCACATGCTCTTAAATTCCTACATCTGGCCTTAGAGTTGCAGGAGACATCTTCCTTGAGCAACTTCTACTGAAACCTAAGAAATCTCTACTGAATAGGAGCAGAATTTATCAAGCCCTTTCCTTATGAAATTACAAGTAGTTGTTCATAATCTTGGAGACGCTAACACATTTCTGTGACAACTACACCAAGTTGCGGGATGGCAAGTTCATTTTTTAAATGTGTGTAAAAAACCTCTTTTTACCTCGCTTTTTTAGACAGTCAAATCATTATGATATTTCTGCAGAATACTTTGGATGGAAAATTCCAGTCTAGACTGCAAAAAAGTTTTCAAAGTTATGAGCAACTAAAAAATTAAAAACAGGGTCTTAAAATAGGGACCGTTAAGCAATCTTACTAATAGTTGGTATCACCAGCCCCACCTATATAAAATATAAGCATTGCTGTTCTAATAGCCTAAATGCACTAAATACCACTAATGTAATCTTAGTAATTGCTACCAGAACAATGTGGCTGCTGTTTTCTTGACTTTATTGATCTGCCAAAATTATAAAGTGGCAGTACTTTATGTAAGCTTTATTTAAAAGCATAACTGGAGAGTGATGACAGAACAGTTTTATATACTAATGTGGTAAATATAGCTAGAACTCTGTTCAATATGCGAAGGAAGGAACAAGCCACTGAAAATGCTATTTATTCGCTATAATTAAAGAAAAGGTTGAGGGTTTGGGTGGGATTTTGTTTTGGTTTTAACTTTTAAATGGTGTCCCTAAAGGAAGAAATCTATATATATTAGGGCCCAGAAGCATGAACAAAGTACTGACTGATCCACAGTAAATTTTGAACGCATTCAGATTAGCCTATGGTGCAGTAAAAGTGGGCCAAGAACTAAGATTGTCTTTCATTTTCTGAGGGCTACAAGCATGCACTGGAACATCATTGAACTTTTAAAAACTTGCTATCTCTTAGTAACTTCCTTTGTCTAAGCTTTGGTTAGTACCAAGACTCAGATCGCAGTGTTAAAACACTCAGACATAAGGCTACAAGAGAAATATATTTGCTAGTGCAATTACCAGTTCAGTTGATCCTATTGTGTTGGTGAATTTCTTTGCAATAAAATTAATAACCTTAACAAGGTGTATTTTAATACTACACCTCAATGTTCACCTTTATATGAAAATTTCCTTCTCCCCCCCCCCATTTAATGCAGAAGCCTCCTACATGCTGTTATTATACAATGTAAAAAAAAAAAAAGATAATTAGGCCACTGTTCTGTTGAAGTTCAACACTTTGTGCCACTTATTTGTTGCTTTTGGTTTGTAGAGGATGTTGTTTGTGGCAGAGCTGTTGTTTCATAGTAGTTGTATATTTGCTCTTCTTTGCTTTGTAAATGATGTGTTCTCTAAGCCTTTAAAGAATGACTACTGAGTAGAGAAAGCTGTAAGACTTGAACCTGTGAGATATCATAGATAGCAAGGAACAGAACATAGTGTTTATGACTATCTAAATAAAAGTCTAGAATGTGCAAAAAGAGAGAATTTCAGTGATGACAAACCTTGATATAGGGCAACAAATTCTGGAGATATTGGGGACCCCACTGAAAATGTCAGTATGTTAAGCAAAATACTTCATCAGTACTTAGGGGCATGCTTATGTCCACTTTTATTCTTCTGCAGTGAAAAATGTGGCTCAGAAACTTGCAAGTTATTGGAGGCTCAAAGAAAGTAAACCGTATTGATTAGTGCCGTGGACACTTAATTAGGTATGGAGGGCAGTAAAGCTCCATTTACACTTGCACCATTTGTTGACACCAATGGCTGTGCTAATAGGTGCAGAACTGAGCTGTGTGCATTTTCGTTCACAGCAGAAACATGCCAAGATGTTTTCCAAATAGTGCCCCTAAACGTTAGACTCCTAAGCCATATGTAATGAGCCTATAAAGAGGGTGTTGGTGACAATGTTTCAAAGCATCACTGCCTTTTTTCCCCATTCCAGTTATCTGTGTGGCTCCTATTGACTAGTAAGCCTGCTTTAGTTCTCCTGCTAGCACATTAATGAAGAACTTGCATTTCAGAACAAAATTGGTATAATTCCTTGTGATTTTAATTAAGGAATTTTTGTGTGAAGTCAGCTCCTGTTAATGTCCTAATCAGTTGTCTTGTGAGTCATCTGGTCAAAATAACATGTGCAGGTTTGACAAAACCAGACTATTCAGGCAGTTAAACTGTCGTTGGATAAGAGGGGAGATCCTTTTGTGGATTAATTCCCAGTTAAAAGCAAGAAGATAGAGGGTGGGAATAAATGGTCAGGTTTTGCCTAAAAAAGAGACTACATATGTGATCCTGTTGAAATTTGTGTTGCATGTTCAATGTTTTCATACATTCCTTTTGTTATATGAAAAGAATGGGCAGAAGTCTAATAGGAGAGTCTAATACTTATTGTAAAGAATTGCAGAAAGTTCCCATAATTGGATGATAGGCTGGCGGGTGGTGATCAATTTTGATAAATGCAAAATAATACACTTGAAAAATAACATTTATAAATGTATATAAATGATGGGCTCTAACCTAACATTACAGAAAAGATTTTGGTGTCAATGTGGATATTTCTAAGTAAACAGTAGATCATTGCTCACAGCAGAAAAAAAAAAAAAGGACAAATTGTATGCTAAGAATTATTAGGAAAGGAATTGATAACAAAATAGAAAAGCACCATTATGCAACAGAATAAATCTATGGTGCTCCCACATCTTGATAACTACAAACGATTCTGATCATCTTAT